AATGAAACGTGAAGGAGGCCAGGCTAGGGAGCCTACTTACGGGGTCTTAGGCATCATGGGTAATTGCCTCTTTGAATAAGAGACCTTGCTCTCACAATAACTCAAATGATGCTGTTTACATCTCTGAGACGAAGGCGAACGTAAATAAAAATAATGAAATTTTTTATTTTTCAGTGATCTCACAATGGAGATAGTTCGTTATCGCCTGATTGGACCACAGTCCCACTCTGTGCTGACTGACACTTTGGAAGCAGCTACAGTCTGTCATGTGAGCGCTGTGTTGTTCGCAGCTCCAGCAGCTTCTGAAAACAGCAGAAACACTAAATAMTTGTATGAATCTCTTTGAAGGATGTGAATAATTCCCAGGCCTCCTCCTTCTGGTGGCCTCAGAACTGCAAGGATGAGAACAAAATGAATCTGCATCACCAACAAGCTGATATTTTTCACACACTGAAAGGTTGTTTTTTTCTTTCTTTTGTGTTTGTTTTTTGCCAGCTTGTTGACCGTGCACTTATACTTTATTATTATTATTATTTTTGCTTTTTGTTTTGTAATTCCTCCAGGCATCTTTTCAACTGGAGAACTCCCCCCAGGCGTAGTGCTGGGTCTGACTGTGGACGACCCCAGACTAACTTTACCCGAAAAGAAGGTCAAAGCTTTGCCCCRTGTAGACCAGGCTCAAGGTAAAATCTGTCCTTCTAGAAACATGGTGAAATAAAAGGAARCTGTTTTTATTTAATTTGGACAGTGTGTAAACTTTGTTTGCTGATAGAAAACTGAGCACGAAAACCTAAACAGAAGCCWATTGTAGAATCAGTCTGTTGGCTCCAGGCCTGAGGTTTGTCTCAGTGAGTACTCATCTGGTTCTGTGCTCCGGGGGGCCTCTGCCTGGCCATGCAGAAGTTCCAGGTTCGAATCCTGGCAGGACCCTGTACTCCAAACACAACCTCAGTGCCTGACAACAGCTGATTAGTTCAGTATCACCATTGCGTTAGTCAGAATCTGACCTGCACTGGCCAAAACTGAGATTACCTTGTCAATTATAACATAAACACATAGTTATAAACATATCTGTACATTTAACTTGGCAATACTGTATGTTTACGTTTATACTAGTTGTGTACAGTGTAAGTATTCTATTTTTTTTTATAGACCAAGTTTCTTTTATATATTTTTTTTAATGTTTCCTTTTTATCTTTTTAGTATGTTTTTATATTGTGATTTGCATATATGTGGGAATTTGCACTCAAGTTTTCCACTCACCTATACGCTTGTGCTATGTGATGTGACAATAAATCTGAATTGAATTGAACATGAAACARTCAGTGGTGCAGGGAATAATGATTCACTTGGTAACAAGTTAAAGCCCCAACAGATGCAGCATGAAGCTTTTCATTCCTTGAACAACCTTTGTAAAACACACATCCTTTGGTTGAAAAACAAGATGTTTCTTTGTTTTACAAGGCTCAACATCTAAAATAAATCAACTCAATAAATGACTAAACTTGTGGTAGAATTCTAGAAAGATGTTGAATTATTTTAGAAAAATGATTAAAAAAATGTCAATGCTGGTGATTTCAATTAGAATAATAGAAGCAGACAGGGTTTCAGGCAACTCAGGAAAACTTTTTTCATTTTTCTTTAACCATTGAAATTCTATTGAGTTAAAACATTTTTATTTACTTGTTTTTGGGAGGAGGGGTCTGGACCTGGACTCACACTAACAGTCATCTTTTGGACTGTGGGAGGAAGCTGGAGTACCTGCAGAAAACTCACACACACAAACTCACAAACAAAAGGAGAACATAGAAACTCCRCACAGAAAAACCTCCAGGCACAAAACAGGGATTTGAACCCATGACCATCTTACTGTGAAGCTACAGTGTTAACCACTAAACCAACATGTCGTCGAACTTCACATTTTCCAGACGGGGAAAACTTGAAATTAAAACACTGGTCTGCTGATTAAAAGAGGATCTTCCTGAGATTTTAACGTGTACATCATCGTTGGTATTCTAKTATTACTGAGTCCATGTTCTGCTTCTAATCCACCAATGTTTAACCCTTTTCATAACAGTCAGTGTTAAATCACTCACTGCTAAGTAAACCTAAGATTAGGGATGGGTACCGAATTTGATACTTTTGATGTAAAGACCGAATTCTTTTGGTACTGAGTATCTATTCACGTAACATCAAACGGTACCATGTTTCGGTACCTAAACGCATCATTGCGACCGTATTGGCTGAAGAGTGGTGAGTTTTCCATGCTTGTCCTGAATGCAGCATTGCACAAGAGCGTAATGACATCACCAGCCGCTGGTAACAGAGCTCAGAACGTAGCCTGAAAGTGACTCGCTTTAAGCRAGCCTCACAGCGCGCAGCWCCTGGAGTAAAAGTCGCCGAACAGACCGCCTCTGAATTATCTGGTGGATTCATTATCTTGAGAGCATGATGTTTGCTTGCTCAAAGTAAATAAAATACCGCCACTTTCTTTATTTCATCCACCATTAAACAGAGACCAGCAGAGAAAAACAACAGAGGAGCTTCCTGACAGTCCGAACACGTCTGACCTGAAAGAGCACAAGCAGCTAACTTGAAGCGTTGAGCTCGTTTTGGATGCTCAAAACGTAGCTTGAATACATTTTATTTATTTTAACTGCATCCTCTTTTGCTTATTTAAACTTATTTGCCTTCCATGGACCTCCGTCACACATTTTTCTAGTGTGGAAATGAC